GGGCTCGGCCACATATATATATGTATGTATGTATATATATATATATATATATATATATATTGTGTATATATATGTATATATGTATATATGTATAGTTTTCACCCTCGGTCCCAGGGCCAGCCCCGCCGATCCTCGGGGGCCGGTCAGCCCCCCCACCCTCCCTCCCTCCCTCCCTCCCTGCCTCCCCTCCCTCCCTCCATCTCCCTCCCCAGCCAAAGAGTCGACGGTGTAGGGCCGATTGTCTTCGGGCCTTGCTGAGGTGCTCCGATCTTCCTCTGCCCTGCCTGCTTGGGACGGGCATCGGCCTGGGGCGACAAGCTTCTGCCGCCCACCAGGCCACTTGCGTCCGTTTTCAGTCCATCTGCTCCTGTCCGTCGGGCGAAGCGCCAGCTGCCGCAGGCTGGGTCAGGAAGTTTTTGCGTAGCACCCCACACTTGAGGATAAGAGTGAAGGGGGCGGGGGCGGGGTGGGCGGCGGTTCGGTCGCGGGTGAGTCGCGCTCGGTTCGCAGGGTGGGTCGCGGGGTGGGTCGCGGGTGGGTCGCGGGTGGGTCGCTGGTGGGTGACGGGTGGGGCGACGACAACAACAATCATTTTCAGATTGTTCGCTCTCATTTGCCCGCTGCTCGCGTGCCATTCAACACGTATATCCGAAACCCTCGATACCCGCCCTCTTCGTCGTCGATCGTGTCCCCTTGGGGGCATATCTTCCTTACCTGAAGCGTGTATTTCGTGCAGCCCCTAAGGCATGGGAAGAGAGGATGGATGGAAGGAAGGGACAAGGGGGAGAGAGGAGGATGGAGCACAAGAAAGAGAGAGAGAGAGAGAAGCAGGAGGGGGGCTACGAGCAGAAAGCACGTGGCAGAACCAGACAGGCAGATCGGGCGGGTAGACCCTAACGCGAGGGTCGGGAAGGCGGCCCAGGCAACCAGGTCGAGCAGGTGGGTTGCTGAAGCGTGCGTCCTGTATGAATCGCGCGGAAGTCTCGAGCGACAGCGCAATTCCCAAGTAAATCGTCAGAAAGGCCAATGCGAGAGCGTGATTCTTGAGTGTCGAGGGCGCGGCGCTTTGAATACATCGCGAGGAACTCCCACGCGAGAGCACGATTCCTTTCTATGCGTTGTGAGGAAGTCTCGCGCGAGAGCGCGAACCTGATATACTCTGTGAAGAGGTATCCGGCGGGAGCCGTTGTTGTTATAAGTCGAGGGCCAGCGGCCCAGTTTGGTGACACCAGACGTTCCCTGATGATGAACCGGATGCGAAGTCCAAGAGGGGCATCTCAAGTACGATGGTCACCAGAGGGAGGGATCAGTAATAATCACTTGTCGGAGGGGAGAGTTCAATAATAATAATATTAATAATATTATGATGATGATTATTATTATTACTATTATTATTGTTATTATTATTATTACTATTATTATTAATAACAATCAGTTTAAGATTATTCGCTCTTACCTGCGCGCGCGCCATTCAACACGTGGATCCCGAACCCGCGATACCCGCCCTCTTCGTCTGCAATCGTACCCCCTTGGGGGGTTATATTTCTTCCCTGCAACGTGTATTTCGTGTACTCCCCAAGGCAGGGGAAGAGGACGGATGGAAGGACAAGAGGGAGTAGCAGGAGGGGGGCCAGGAGCAGAAAGCACGTGGCATAATCAGACGGGCAGATCGGGCGGGTAAACCAAAACGGGCGAGTCGGGAACGCGGGCCCAGGTGGCCAGGTCGAGCAGGCGGGTTGCTGAATCGTGCGTCCTGCATGAATTGCGAAGAAATTTCGAGCGAGAGCGCGATTCCCAAATACATGTAAAGGAAATCCACAGCGAAACCGTGATTGCTGAGTGTCGAGAGCGCGGCCTTTGAATACATCCACAGGAAGTCCCACGCTAGAGGGCTATTCTTGTTACAACTGTGAATGAATCCCGCGCTAGAGCTCGATTGTTTAATCAAGCGTAAGAAATATCAGGCGGGAGCCGTTGTTGGATTTCTCAACGGTGACTTCCCAATCAGAGCTTGCCTCTGTAGGGGTCCTAGCGGATTCATATGGTTAGGTGAGGTTCGTCGCCGATTTCGGTGGCCGGACCGGGTGCCCGGGTGCCTGGGGGTGCCCGGGGGTGCCCGGGTGCCCGGGTGCCCGGGGGTGCCCAGAGGTGCCCCGGGGTGCCTGGATGCCTGGACGCCCGGGTGCTTTATCGCCCTAAAGCCTTATAGCCTGTAGCCCTATAGCCCAATAGCCCTTTAGTTTTATAGCCCTGTAGCCCTATAGCACTATAGCCCTATAGCCCTATAGCCCTAATAGCCCTATAGCCCATATAGCCCAATCGCCCTATAGCCCGATGGCCCCATAACTCTATAGCCCTATTGCCCAGTCGCCCTACAGCCCTATAGCCCTATAGCCTTTATAGCCTTATAGCCCTATAGCCTTACAGCTTTATAGCCCTATAACCCTACAGACCTATAGCCTTATAGCCCTATCACTCTATATGCCTATAGCCCTATAGCCCTATAGACCTATAGCCCTATGGTCCTATAGCCCTATAGCCCCATAGCCCTGTAGCCTTAAACAGGTGATGATTGGGGTTTTTCTCCGATATCATTGTTGATCCCCCTGCCCGGTAACCTTTCTGCATGTTTCCATCAAAATGGTTCTCCCGAGGATCGCACCTTGCTTTTCAAGAGAAAGCGACATGTCAAACATCTGTCCCCCTGCCCCCCGTTTACAACAAAAACGGTTCTCGCCTGACATTTTTTCGCAGTGTACTCCCAAATCGCGCTCTCGCGCCAGACGTCCTCACAATTGATACACGAATTGGGCTCTCGCGTGGGACTTGTTCGCAGTGCATTCAGACTTGGGGAATCGCGCTATCGATTGAGGTTTCCTCGAGATTCATGCAGTAATCACGCTTCAACAACCCGTTTGCTCGACCTGGCCGCTTGGGCCCGCGTTCCCGGCCCGCCCCTTAGGGTCTACCCGCCCGATCTGCCCGTTTGGTTCTGCCACTTGTTTTCTGCTTTTAGTCCCCCTCTTTCCTTCCATCCGTACTTTTTTCCCCTCCCGTAGGGGCTGCACGAAATACATGTTGCAGGTAACAAAGATATATACCCCATGGTACGATCGAAGACGAAGAGGGTGGGTATCGAGGCTTTGGGATATACGTGTTGGGACTCCCTCTTGTGCTCCATCCTCCTCCCTCCCCCTTTTCCATTTCTTCCATCCGTCTTCCCTTCCCCTGCCTTAGGGGCTGCACGAAATACACGTTACAGGGAAGAAAGATATACCCCCAAGGGGGTACTATCGCCGATGAGGAAGGCTGGTATCGAGGATTTGGGATCTACGTGTTGAACGGCGCGCCCGCATATAGGAGCGAACAGTCCTAACATGCCTTTACATGGTTGTTGCTGATTGTGTTGTTGAATCTTCATTTCCAACAAATAATGAATTCTGATCCCCCCGGTTACCATAGTTTTTTTCAATTGAGGTGCCCCTCTTGAGGCTCGCACTTTTTTCCGTAACGGGAAATCGCGGTGCTACCAAACTGTGCCCTTGGGCCCCGATTTACAACAACAACAACAACAACGATTCCCGCTTGATACTTCCTTACAATGTATTCCCAAATCGCGCGTTCGCGCGGGACGTCCTCACAATGTATACAGGAATCGCGCTCTCGCGTAGGACTTCCTCGCTACTTATTCAGACGCCGCGCCCTCGACACTCAGGAATCACGGTTTCGCTGTGGATGTCCTTTCGATTTCTTTGGGAATCGCGCTATCGCTCGAGAGTTACTCGCGATTTATGCAAGACGCACGCTTCACTAACCCGCCTGGCCGACCTGGCGGCCTGGGCCCGCCTTCCCGACCCGCCCTCTAGGGTCTACCCGCCCGATCTGCCCGCCTGGTTCTGCCATGTGCTTTTTGCTCCCAGCCCCCCTCCTAGCACACCTCCTGCTATTCTCTCGTGCTCCATCCTCCTCCCTCCCCATTGTCCCTTCCTTTCATCCGTCCTCTCTCCCCTGTTTAGGGGCTGCACGAAATACACGCTTCAGGTGGGAAAGATCTACCCCTAAGGGGGTACGATCGAAGACGAAGAGGGCGGGTATCGAGGGTTTGGGATATACGTGTTGAATGTCACGAGCAGATCAGAGCGAACAGCTTTGAAACGATGAAAGATGCATTATTGGAGAAGAATGATTGTTGATCCCTCCCTCCGGAGCACTTCTGTGCTTTTAATGGAAGTGCCCTTCCCGGGGCTGGTCCCCTGCTTTTTACCAGGGAAAGTCTCGGGTCTCCGAATTATGTTGTTGGCCCCAGGTTTACCCCAACAACGGCTCCCGCCTGATATTTCCCTGCAATCTGTTTCCAAATCGCGCTCTCGCGCGAGACCTCCTCCTCACAATTGATGCAGAAATCGCGCTCTCGCGTGGGATTTTCTCGCAATGTATTTAGACGCCGCGCCCTCGACACTCAGGAATAACGCTCTAGCTCTGGTTTATCTCACGATCTACCTGGGAATCGCGCTGTCGCTCGAGACTTCCTCGCGACTCATGCAGGACATCGCCCCCGCGACTCATGCGCGACGCCCCCCCCCAAGCCCCCTTGGCCGAATGTCTTTTCTTCCTTCCGGAGGGGGGCCCATTTTCGCGGCGACCTGATAAACCCGAGACGCCCCCCCCACACCCTTTTGGCCGGATTTCTTTTCTTCCTTCCGCGGGGGGGCCACTTTCGCGGCGACCTGATAAACCCGGGACCCCAGGCGGCGCACAGAGTTTGTTCTTTTCTTCCGCGGGCACATTGCCACCGGGGCTTTTGGGCCCTTCTGGCTAGAGTGCACTTAGCACTTGAGTGCAACTGGTACAACCATGTGCTAGCGCTGGTCCTAGAGCTCAAATTGTCCTGCATCGCAAGTCGTCTTCTCGACTTGCGATTGAGGAGACAGTGCAGACTCGTGATTTGGGAATAAGGAAACACTATAGGATCGCGATTCGGGAGTACGGAAGCAGTGGTT